AAGATATTTAGAATATAAGCATGTAGAATGTAACGATTAGTTATGTTGCTGAGGGCTAAAGGGCTGTGTTTCCCTAACCACAGCCAACCGCGGTTCACAATGCAACATAGTATACAGGTTCTAAATGAACGCTCTTGGATAAAACGATTTGCTCTTCAGAGATGCATCTACTTGGAACAGGTGTCTTTTCAGGCTCTCATCACTCCACCCAAAGCCTAGGTTATTCTACGGCTAAGAAAAACCCCATTCCTCCGTTAGGAATCATCTCTGCTACGAAACTTTGCCAGTCTCAAATAGGCTAGGGTGCTGTTTCTTCTGGGAAGAAACAAGTGCATGAAGTGACGAGCAAATGCCTCCAGGATGCTCCCAGTCCCAAGGAAAACCCCACCTCCCAGGCCTTGGGGCCTCGACATCCTCCCTTCACACACACCAGACTCGACGAAGCGCACCTGAGTTACGAACTCGGCGTTGATCTGGGACACCGTAGGAGCCACGATTTTCTTGGGCTGAGCAGGGGCCGCCATGGCAGCACTCTTATTCCGCTCCAGTAAGGAAAGGTCCGCTAGAAGTAACGGTGAACCCGATGCACTTCCCCCCAAGAAGCAGCCGCGGCTGCCCAATTCCGCGAAGCGAGAGGCAGCTAGCGTGAAGGTCCTCAGCCGTCACACGGTCGCACAAGAAACACACAGAGCAGCCCGTACATTTCCCCGGAAGCGGAACTGATCAGGGCCGGAAGTTCGTGTTAGGCGTTGGGTCTGAGCTAGAGACCGCAAGGGCTTCGGCCTCCTCCGCATGCGCCCCCTAGCGTACAGCTGAGAGAACACATCCAGCAGGCTGGACCCCATCTCAGAGCTGCATCAGGTAGGTGGTGTTGAGTGAGGGTTTTTCGTGGTAGAGTTGCAGGGGACGGGGAGACTTGACGGTTCCCTCCATCCTAAGCGGGGGAAAAACAGTAGTGAAAAAAAGATAGGCTTGGGTATGCCGGGCTCATTTTTAACTGTTTTTAACAGATTCATGGAAGTACAAGTTGACATACAATGAACCACGTGCACATATTTGGAGTGTAACATTTGATCCATTTTCAGTCATACATCCGTGAAACCATTACCAAAATCAGGATAATACGCATATGCAGCGCCCCTCAAAGTTTCCTCATGACTTTTGCAATCCATCCCTGTTGCCAGACTAGGGGAAAACAGGGCTACCAGATAAAAAGGGGCTAAGAGGTTAGTGACTGAAGAGGTAATGGATGAAGTAGGTGTAAAATGCATTTTCAACATGAAAGACAAAACTAGAACAGTAACCGGAAGGACAGATGAAAATGAAGTTGTTTGTCTCAAGGGCTAATTTTTTTTTTTTTAAATATTTTTATTTATTTCTAGAAGAGAGAGACAGCGTGAGCAGGGGAGGGTCAGAGAGAGAGGGAGTCACAGACTGAAACAGGCTCCAGGCTCTGAGTTGGCAGTCAGCACAGAGCCCGACGCGGGGCCCCGAACCCACGAACCGCGAGATCATGACCCAAGCGAAAGTCGGACGCATAACCGACTAAGCCACCCAGGCGCCCCTCAAGGGCTAATTCTTTTTAGGCTAGGTGCAGTGGCAATTTTTGATCACCTATCCTCCCTTCTTTCCAAACACAACTTCAGCTTTCGCCATTATCCATATCCATACTGTTTTATATTGTATGTGTGAAATAGAAAACATAAAAAGATGCATTCTCTTGCTTTCCGGAAGCATGCAGTTTTGTTCAGTGATCGTCAAAGGGTAATACTCTCAATACAGCAGTAACAGCCAAGCTGCATAAATGCAAATTCTTGGGCCCAACACCAGACATCAATAACTGCAGGTGCGGCTTAGCAATCTATGCTTTTAACAAACCCTCCACATGATTCCAGTGCACACACTAAAGTTTGAAAACCACTGATCAACAGTGACAATAGAGTTATGAATGAAAAGCAGTGCGAACATAGGGCATGGAGTGTTTAAGGCAGATCAGAAAGGCTTCCAGAGGAAGTTGTAATATTTAAGTTCAAACTCAAAGAATGAATAGAAATTTGCCAATTTGGATCCAAAATATTATGTTCCATATTCATTTAATGATACCATTGCACTATTTATCTTTATATTCTTTCCCCCTCTTAATGCTAACAGAGTTAGCCCTGAAATTTAAGCTCTCCTAACCAGCAATAGGAAGCTCCACAAGATATGAATGTTCTTTCCGATTCTGAAAAGCAGATATTCTGTATCATCAAACAAACCTTGCTTGGGATGCCTGGCTGGTTCAGTAGATAGAGCCTGCAACTTGATCTCAGAGCTCTGAGTTCGAACTCCCGTGTTCAGTGCAGAGATTACAAAAACAAACAATAGTCCTTGCAAATGTTATTTCTAACAAAGAATTCTCATTAAGTTACCTAGACTTCAAAGATTGTTGCTATGTCTTAAAACTGTAGTTCTAATAGGTTATCTTCCATAAAAGGTGAATTAAAATGTTTTCCGGGTGTCTGGCTGGCTCAGTCAGTAGAACATATGACTTGATCTTAGGGTTGTGAGTTCGAGTCCCCCATTGGGATGCAGATTACTTAAAAATAAAAAAAAATAATATATCAGTTCATCATTTCTAAAAAAAAAAAGTTTTCTGCAAGCCAGTCTGAAACACTTTAGTTTTCCCCCCATAGTTATGGACAACCAAAAATCCGGTTCAACTAAATTTCTTCTTTGAATTCAAGAGTTTGAAAGTCTGTTTCTAATTTAAAATAATAGTAGATAAACAAGAAAGAGACAAGAATATACACAGAACTAATTCTGTATTTCTTAGTACAAATCTGGAAAGGAAGGCCAGAGAATACATAGTTAAGCAGGTAGATCATGTGACATGTGATGGAGTTAACATATCCTTTTGTAGGTGATAAGAAGCTATTAGGGGTGCCTGGGTGGCTCAGTCGGTTAAACACCTGACTCAGGTCTTATCTTGTGGTTTTTGAGTTTGAGCCCCACATCAGGCTCTGTGCTGATAGCTCAGAGCTTGGAGCCTGTTTCAGATTCTGTGTCTCCCTCTTTCTCTCAAAAATAAACATTAAAAAAAAAAAGCTATCAAAGAAATGTAATAAAAAGGAAAAGTAAAATATAAGTTGGGGAACCTGGGTGGCTAAGTTGGATAAGTGTCCCACTCTCCTTTTTGGCTCCGGTCACAATCTCACAGTTCTTGGGTTCAAGCCCCACACTGTTAGCATGGAGCCTGCTTAAGGGTCTCTTTCTTCCTCTCTCTCAAAATAAATAAACTTTAAAAATAGATAAAAATGGAAATGATTAAATATCCATGTTAGGAAATTCAGTATAGAAGGTGGATTGGAGTGGGCCCGGGAGAGTGTTTGGCAATCAGTACCTTATGCCAGTATTATGTGATTTTCCCTTTTTAAATGAAAAAAAAAAAAGTCCAAACCGTGTAATTTTAAAGTTTATTTTTAAAATATTGTGAAATTTGAATTCTTCAAGCCTCTTAACCACCATCTACTTTCCTTCAACACACACACATTTTGTCCTAAAATTGTTGGCCCTACTGTAGTACAAATCAAGAAACAGTAATTCCACTAACTCAGCCAATCAAACTACTTCAGGAAGTAATCATGCTATAGCCTGGAATCACCCAAACAAAAATTTTTTAATAAATCTCTTTAAAGATATTTATAAAGTTTATTTTTTCAGAAAACCAAAGTGATTGATTCAACAATACTAATAGTACTAGCATGCAGCAAATCATCATGTAACATCTAATGTTTAATCTTCTTATGGATATATACCGTTTATTTTCATTCCTATAAAGTTTCCACAAGAAGCTTGCAATGATAAAGATAAAATAAGTATTTTGTTACAGGTACTTCAAATAGCACTACAGTACATCTTTGACAAAATTTGTACAATATTCCAACTTTCAATATGAAACAGCTTAAAAAGGCATGGGCCAAAAAAAAAAAATGATAGTATCACTTAAGCAAATAAAGTCTAATAATCATACAAGCACAACACTATTAGAACTCTCCCTGTTTGGGTTGGGAAAGGACTAAATGAGACATTTACTCCAAATAAAATTACATAGTTTCAGAAAATCCCAAAATACATAACTTCAGACAAAAACCTCTTGAACCTATATTCTTGAAAAACAGGAAATAGGTATTCCTTGCTTTTATGTAATAGGTATGTTGTTGAAGTTTTGTGTACAACAAATTCTGTAAACTATCATCTTGCTTGCACTAGAGGAACAGATCTGAAGGAAATCTAAGATAAATTATTCTTTAAAACATAAGATTCTCCTGCACATTTATACATCATTGGGCATTCTATCTGTACTGTTTTATCTCTGTATATTAAACCCAAGTTTCTCAACATGCATTTGGAACAGGAGATACCAACCTCCCCTCCTTTCTCCTGCTACACACAGTTCTTAGAGTATGACACAGAGCTTACAAAGCAAAGAATGTTGATTTATCCATTCTCAAGAGGGCTTGCCACTGTATTTAAGTGTGGCTAGGACAAATACCCATCTGTTCTCACTTCAGAAAGGTAATGGTTATTTTCTTTTATTACTAAGAAATCTCATTCAAAGATTTTTCCTAAAAAATGGCAAATATGAAGGACAATTCGTGATTATGTCTTTTATAGCTTAGATTCAATATTTCCCAAATTATGACAGTGCTGTTTAGGATACCTTCGATTCTGCAAGCATTTTATTCCTATATAGGAACGATTACCTTATCAAAACAATTTGCAAATTATCAAGATAACATTTTTTAGCATTAGATTCTTGCAAGAAACATAGACTTAAAAACTCGAACTAGACTTGGAGCACCTGGGTGCCTCACTTGGTTAAGTGTCCTACTTCAGCTCAGGTCATGATCTCATGCTTTGTGGATTTGAGATCCGTATCAGACTCTGTACTGATGGCTCAGAGCCTGGAGCCTGCTTTGTATTCTCTCTCTCTCTCTCTCTCTCTCTCTCCTCCCTCCCCCACTCATACTTTGCCTCACTCTCTCTCTCAAAAATAAATAAACATTAAAAACAACACTAGAACTAGACTGAGCATTGCCATGTGATCAAACAGATTTAGTTAAGTCACATGACCATTCAATTCATGAGACATTAAAACAAATTTTACTAAAGTAAATCAAAATCTTGTGGAGATGCAGATCTAGAGGGGAGTCTTAAGTCTACAGTTACTGCTGTCAATCATTAAGTAAATAGATGAATTGCATTTATTCCTCTGGAAAGATAACACTGCATACAGATCATCAAAAAGATGATGGCACTTGGAAAATATTCCTGATAAGTAAACATGGTAAATGTATACAGGAGCATCCTAACCTCTCCTACTTTTAAATTTGGGAAAAACAGCAAGCTGGGCAAAAAAAACAAAAAACAAACAAAAAAAAACCCCCACAATTCTCATTACCTGCGGAAAAGAAGGTGAAGCTACCAGAATCCCAAGAATGAATAGCTTGCAAAAGGCCAATGAAAATAATACTATGACTTTCTCATCCATTTTCACTTTTATATTTTTTACTTACAGGAAAAAAAATTTCTAATGGAATTTGAGCCATAGGTGGACAAAATTATGCTTTTATGGGAAATATAAAAAAAAAAAATGTAGTGGGGCTATTGGCTGCAGCCAAAAACCAATTTTTACCTCTCAGTCTTCTGAGTATATCTAATAGGAGATGGCATGCCTTAAGGAGTAAGTCCTTTAAAAAATTAATGAACTGAGTTATTGTACCATATCATGGATTTATATTTTCAATACAGCCAAAGTATACATTAAAATAAAATAAATGCTTACTGTGTGGCATCAAACCATGCTATTCCCCCTAAAAATTAATTTGGCTCTTCCTAAAACATTCTATTAATTTTCTGTACTGCATCTTGCTTCCTACTCTGCAGGACAAGCAACTGCCTATGAAATCACCCGACCTAGTGAAGGCCTTTTGATAAAAATACATTTTAAATGATACAGGCTTCAAGAACAAGATTATCAGAAACCACAAATGTGTTACTGGTTCTATCAGTTCCATAACTGAATGTGAGAACCACTTTCTCTTGGGATTAGTCATTCCTTAAAGTGAGTAAGTTGATGTCTCTTCCAGTGAGGAGCCTGTCTGAATGTTTTGCCACAAACTGAGCATTCAAATGGCTTCTGCCCTGCGTGAATTAGATAGTGTCTTTCCAGTTTAGATGGAGATCTAAAACTCTTGGAGCAAACGCTGCATTGGTAGAGAAGGCCGTCATTCCTCTCCGTGGGCCCTGAATAACCGCAACAGTGACTGTGAAGGCTCGGCTCTGATTGCAGAAGTACACTAGCAAGATAGGGCTGCCTGTTCCGATAGGGGGGACTAACAATGAAATCCTCTGATTCTGCCTTAACTTTTATTTCTGATATTTGATCCGACTCTGAGGCCTCATATTTTTGGAAACCAAGCATCTGACATTGTTGGGAAGCATTATAGTTAACATTATCACCTGGGTGAATGAGAAGTTGGTTCAAATTTTCAAATTCTACTTGGCAAAGAGATCGTCTATAAGGAATCTTCTCAATATGAGTTAATTTGTGTCTTTTTAAGTGAGCTGACTGTCTGAAGGATTTCCCACAAACGTTACAGCCAAAAGGCCTCTGTCCAGTATGAATTAAATAGTGTCTTTGCAGTTTGGATATAGAAGGAAACACTTTCTCACATTTGTCACAAGGACACATCTTATGTCCAGTATGTAGGTTTTCGCTTGGAACTGAAAAACCACACTTCAGCACTTCACAGTTATCAAAGAATTCCTCACCTGATGAACCGTAGATAGATACGTCTTTATTATTCACTGAATTATCTATTGGTAACATGTTTTCTGTCGTAAGGATACCTTTCAAGTTTTTACCCACATTTTGGTTCTGGAAGTGTTTTTGCCAAGAAAATGGCAAAGCCAAAGTTTTCTTCTTTTTATTGCCAACTGCCTTGTATGTTCCATGTATGCCAAGAGGACCCATAAATGTTCTCTGGGTTTGTTCAGGGCTCTGCTCACCAGAAAGAAGATCACAATTTTTCAAGAAATTGTTTTTAAATACTTTTTTCTCAGATCGAAGATTATCTAATTTCTTACCCCCAGCACGTTTAAGTTTAGCTAAGATTTTTTTAACAACGGTTTTATAGTTGTAGCTTCTTTTGAGCCTGCTTGGCATTTTGCCACCTCTGGCAGGGAAACACTTATGTCCATTGAGAATCTGCTCTGATTCAAAACACTCTTCACACTCTGGACACTGAAAAGGGACGATATAAATAGAGTGGACATCAAGTGGATTAGTCTCCTCAGACTCACCTAAATCACCATTTTCAAAACCATCCTGCTTTGCGTTTAATTTATTAGGTAGAGGGCATGATTCTGGACTCTTCACCTTTAATGAAAGAGTCTGAAAGGTCTTATTCCTGGTATGGATTTGTTTATGCTTCAGAAGTTTGCTTTGAATCTTAAATCCTTTTTGACAAAAACAACATTGAAAAGGTCTTTCTTCCGAATGTGTGAGTTGATGAATTTTTAAGTGAGTAGACTGTCGGAAAGACTTACTGCACAGGACACACTGAAAAGGCCTCTGACCAGTATGAATAAGTGCATGCCTATCAAGTTTTGATTGCGATGGAAACATCTTGCCACAGATCGTACATGCATGAATATTCTTTCTTTTCTTTGTAGGGCTGTATGTGGGATCAGATTTAGAGCACGGATGCAATGCCCATCTTTCCTCTGTGGTATGAGTATGATACATCCCATATACCGGCTTTTCTTGCTTGGCCTCCAACAATCTTCTGACCTGTTTAACATCATTCTGGTAGGTTTCATTGTGAAGTTGCTGGTGCTTCACAAACGTCTTCAGATTTTTAAAGTGGCGTTGACAAATGCTACATTTAAAAGGTAGATTATGAGTTAGTTGATGTCTCTCCAGATGAACCAGTTGCCTAAAAGTTTTATGACACACATCGCATTCAAATGGCTTTTGACCAGTATGAATGAGATAATGCCTAGCTAATTTTGATGGTGTTTCAAAGTGCTTGAAGCAAATATTGCAAATATATGGCCTGTTTCTAGGTAGTTTGTTGGCTACTACACACTGTTGAATCTTTAGCATTTTTAAATTTTCAGCCATCATATTCTTCAGTGATATACGCTGATGAATTCCATGTTCTTAAACTCCACAGATGTCTAAAAATTAAAAGTAAAAATGTATTAATTTAAAATGTATTCATATGGAAAGAAATAATTTGTCTTTTGGCTAAAGATATTAAGGGTATAGGGGAACCTGGACTTTTTCTATGTTTATAAGTAAGTTAATAACCATTTCAGATGAATACTTTAGAATCCTAAAACTTCATAAATAGAAATGATGAGTCTTTAAAAGAAATCTCTAGGGGTGCCTGGCTGGCTCAGGAGGTAGAGCATATGACTCTTGATCTCAGGGTTGTGAGTTCAAGGCCCATGTTGGGTGTAGAGTTTACTTAAAAAACAAAACAAAACAAAATAAAATTGGGGGCGCCTGGGTAGCTCAGTTGGTTCATGTGAATTCAACTCAGTTCATAATCTTGTAGTTCCATAGTTTAAGCCCCACATTGGACTTTCTGCTGTCAGCACAGAGCCCATTTTGGATCCCATCTCCCTCTCTCTGCCTGTCCATTGCCTCACTCATGCCCTCTGTCAAAAATAAACATTAAAAGAGGGAAATTTAAAAAAACAAATTAAAAAATAAATCTCTAAAAATCAATATAATTTAAAGCTAGATTTCTAATTGAGATAATACATTATAAGGGGACTGAAACGAATTTCTTAACACTAAAGAGACCTTTTAATTCCGATTTTCCTAGTTCTCTATTAAGTAGCTTTGCCAGTATTTGCTTTGTCATTAAAAAAAAAAAACTAGAAAGGTAAGAAGTGTAAGAATCAAAATATAATACTAAAAATAAGATGTAATTTGCATTCAATTATAGCATACTATAGGCACAATCTGAGAAAGGAATGTTTCAGATATCAAAGTTGGATTTCTTAGCCACCTCATTAACAGTATTTATTTAGATATTTATTTTTATTTTTATTTTTATTTAGAGAGAGTGTGAACGGGTCAAAGGGGCAGAGGGAGAAAGAGACAGAATCCCAGGCAGGATCCATGAGCCTGATGCGAGACTTGATCCCATGACCCTGGGATCATGACCTGAGCCAGAATAGAGTCAGCTGCTCAACCGACTGAGCCACCCAGGCGCCCCTGACAGTATTTACTTTTAATTACTTCTTTGGACCAAGAAAGACAACATGGACAGCTGGGAGAAAATGGCCCCGATAACCTGGCTTCTAGTCCTAGATTTGCCACCATATGACCTCAGTGACAGAAAGAAATATAGATTCTTCATCTCTAAAATGGGGGAAATGCCTCCCAGCCTGCCTACCACATCCAGTTGTGAGAATCCACAGAGATAATGCATCCGAATATGCTGGAAAACTGTGAAGCAATATACAAATGTAAGTTATTACTTAGCTCAACACTGATCAGATTTTAAAACTTTATCCTTGTCTACATAATTTTTGGGGGGTTTCTACCTAAGAAATGAACACATTAGCTAAATTTGTAGTTTTTTATTTCTTCATTGCATTTTGTTGTGCAGCTCCCAAAAGACAGGTACAAAAGCACTGAGGCAATTTGGCTACTTCTGTATTTATCAGTGGCTAAGTAATTTGAAAGTTGAGTGTGGTTCACTTTTCAGACAATATAATAAAAGGATCATTTTGGCCTTGAAGTTAATCTGAAGATAAAAATGCTTTCCCTAATATACCCCTGGTTTTTACCAGGTATTTTCACAAAAACTGTATGCCCTATCTTCCCTTTTATCAGAGAAACCAATTTTCTTCTCATCCTTTTACTACTGCATTCTCCTTAAATAAGGGAGTCAGAGATTTAAAAAAAAAAAAAAAAGAAAAGAAAAGCTGTTCTAGCTTTCTCATTCTAATGTTGTTTCTTCTAGTTGAGATCAGAAAGTTGATAAATCTACCAAAAACTCGGTGTTCTTTTGTCAGCTGATTTGGCAAATATCCAACATATATGCTATCTGCTATTAACTGCCTTCTCCTAGAAGACACCTTAAACACAAAACTGCAAACATACCCATTGTGGTTCTCTTCAGCAATCTGAATTAGAAACACACAAAAAATTCATTTATTGGGCAAGTATTTTCTACTAGTTGCTTCATCACAGTGTTTTTCACAGTGTTATGTTGCTACCCATTAATGGATTATGAAATCAATTTAGTGGGTCATAATCAGCATTTTGTTTAATAAAAAGTAGAAAATAACAGAGTGTGTTACATATAGTAAAGATGAATGCTGTTTTGTGAAACTTCTATATAAAGAGGTTAAGAAACTTTGTGGTGAAAGCTGTTCCTAGTATCTCTTCACACAACACTAGACAGAGGAACCCACAACAAATCAATCACTTTATTCAAAATAAACAAATAATCTATTAGGTAAGATTGGGGTGCAGAGGATGAGATAGAATTACTAAGGAAAACTACAGTATATGATTTTCTTCACTTGGCCCATATAACCCCAAAACATTTATCAAAACATTTAATTAAAGGCCAAATGGAATATGCCACATTAGTGTATGCAAAATAAAAGAATCTGACCACAAGCCACTGTATTAATTCACAAAATGTACTATATACCCCAGATATCCGTGTTAGCAACAATCAGCTGTTGGTGCTATTAATATGCATTTTCACTACACAGACTTACTGGTGAGCAACCTCCAAATCCCTAAACATGCTAACACAGCAACAGTTTTGAGGATCTGAGTCATGAATCCAGTAAATTGCCAAGAATTTGGCAATTTATTTCATTCCTGTCAAGGTGGTCAATTAGGACAGTAAGCCAAAATGAAAGTAATAATCAAGCCTTTATTCACTTACTGCCACAGTGCAAGCAAAAGGCAAAAACAAGTATTGGTTCCTCAGGGGCCGTTACACAGAACTACACTAGGTGAGACAAGTGCACACAATCATCTCCCTGCCAAAACAAAAAGGCTTCTGCCTCCTCATGGACCAAGTGAGCCAGGGGGAGAGGAAGGAAGGGCTGGGAGTGGAAAGGTCCTGAGTCAAAACAGAAAAGTACCTCAAACAACTCCCTCCCCCAACCTACTCAAGGAGGTCTTGGTGGACGCCGAGGCACCTGGGAAATACCTCATCCAACATCTTCTGAATGGAGGTACCTGAGCCAACAATGCAGTCTAGTATAAGCCTGGGTAGCAGGAGGGAAGGAGTGAGTCCCTGATTGCAACTCTCTCCAAAAAAACTATAATGCACTGGCCACGCACAAACCTGGTGTAGGCAGGGCTGTTTCCCCCATGAGGCCAGCCAGCCAAAAACATGCAACTGTCTACAGTCGGGCCCCAAAGATCACACAAAGGATTCTGCCCTAGAGCCAACATCCTCAATTCCTACTGTATATTTCTCCTCTTTTAATAGTTTCCATGGAATACTCTTGAAAGAAAATCCCACACTTGAACCACATACAACAACCATCTCCGATTGTAACAGGAAGTGACTATAGTTCCTATGCCAAAAAGTGTCAATGGCTGATCACCTACCACCAGCACTAAGACTGTATATTGTTGTCACTTGGCCTTCACACCATGTGGGAAAGCACTTACTGGGAGCCCTATACTGTTGGAACCATTGGTGGCAACCAGTGATCTCATCTGCTATTTATAAGCGATAGCTTCGGGATCTCCAATGCTCCAAGTGCAGTGCCATACGTACTTATACAGGGCGCACATTAATTTGATAGAGCTCCAAATCCCACCTCTCTGTGCTCTCAATTGATTTTTGTGTTGTTGGTAATAAAAGAAAGAAAGAAAGAAACACAAAGCCAACAAGTGTATTTCTCCTATGTTAAATTGAAAATAAAATATAATAAATCTCAGAGGCTCAACCTGAAGATTATTCTGACAACTGCAAGACAACACTGTTGGAAGATTGTAAAATCTGATTTGAAAACTTCCAACGAGACGCTTCCAGGCTGAAAGCCTGTTGGTGTTTTACTCTTAACACCATTAAAGCGAAGTTAGGATATCACAAAAGCAAGTGAACAAAAAAACTAAAGATCAGAGAAACGTGGATCACTTCCAGCTGGGGAATAATCTCTGGCGACATCGATCACCTTTCCTTCTTTGTGGCCGCTTCCGCCTCACTTCCTCTGGCCCATTCTCGTGGCCTTGAACCCTCACCTCTCGTCCCACAGGGGCTGCAAAGGACAGAGGACCTTGACATCTGGCCGTCGCCTTAAACGTCCACAACCAATAAGCACTCAGGGGGTCCAGCAGAGTCCAGAGACGGCAAAATCCCACACTAGGAAAGGAAGGGTGAAAACTGCTTTGGCCGCAGCCTGGGGAAAATGCCACAGGCGATTCGACCCACAGCAGGGGGAAAGCATCCTTCCTGCGCCTTCCTCTAGGAGACTGCCGCTCCCCTGAGACGCAGTCGGGAGGCGGGGAAGTGGAAAAGGAAAGGGAGCTGAGGTCGTGGCGTCCCCGCTATGGGTCCCCGGACACCTTGAGGGATCGAGGCGGGCCCGACCCTTCCCGAGGTTCGCTCCACCTCACAGACGGACGCCTCAAGTTCGCCTCACGCACCTGGAGCTGGCACGGCCAGGGTAGGCGCGCATCTCAGGGCCCGAACGCCGCGAAGGCAACGAGCGCACGTCCGCAGGGCTGGCGCGGCGACAGGCTGAGCGCGCAGGCGCGGCGCTCGGGAGCGCCCAGGGACGCGGTCCGGCTGGAAACTGGCTCCCCCCGACCCCAGGGCCGCCCTTCCTTAGGCGCGGTCTGCGACTTGGGTGGGGGGCGGTGGGTGGGGGCTCCAGAGATTGGCCCCTACCCCCAGCTCCGCCCACCCCGCACTGCACGTGCGGGCGGAAGAGAATAGATGATTAGTGCGCTTCCGATTGCTCTGACAGTTCGAGGAGATGGATGTGAAGTGCTCAACATAGTGCCTAGAGCGTAGTAAGCCCTCAAATAGCTTTATCATTTATTACTTCTTATATTAAATACAACTTTATAAAGTGATAGGATCTCATTTTAAAAATGAGGAACATAAAAAATGAGGAACATAAGGCTGAGGCGTTGAGAGCTATGTCACATAGCTGATTGATGGCAGAGATGGAATTTGAACACAGGTAGGGTTGTACTAGACCTGCACTTTTAATTCACTGCTTCTTCCCAAATTATAGATAATCTCAGTATTTTATGTGGACACAAGTAAGGGTTAAGTGTTGTTGTTCAGTTACAGACTTGGGTGGTACATTATTACTGAATAAGCTGTTTAGGTATCCACCGGAAATTTTAAGTGCAAAAGACATTGGAAAATTATCGTGGATTTTTGCAGGTTCAGATTGTAACTGTCTCAGCTTGAAGGCGAGGACATGAGAACAGGGAACAAGCACATTTTCTTTCAACTGTAAGTAACTTTCTGCATTACTTTTCAAGGACGACTGACAACAAAAATTATTATTTCTAATGTCGGTATACGTTCCTCTATTTAAAAAGGAAAAAGTTGGGCCAGTGAAAAGTAAGTCTCTATTTTCCATGGGGTAACATGAGGAAATGGCTAATAGAAAATAAGTTTTTGCTTTTTAGATAACAACCTTGGAGGAGTCACATTTGGGAAAAGTTGAAGCCCTTACCGTCAACGGAAGCAGAGACTGAGAAAGGAGGGGGAAAGCGTTAGGTGTCCTGTGGTTAGGATGAGGACGCTGTGTGTTCAGATAACCCTTGGGGACTTGCTCCATCCTGCAGCTTCTCATGGGAGTTCAGCTCAACCAAACCATGCAAACAATTGCATCCATCGCCAGCCACATAAATCCTCAGGAAAGATAGGCAGACCGTGCGAGAATATTATGAGAGATTTGGAACCAATGGAGGGTGCATTACCTGCAAAATAAATAGGCCTTTGCACCGAGAGCCTGAATCTGGAGTGTGGAACACAGATGAGACACGAATAAGCAATTCTCCAAGGCCACATACCTTTCATCTTAACTTTCCCCATTCACTCTGAAAGCAACCTCAGGAGTCCTCTGAGGAAAAAGGAGAGATTATCAAGAATAAGTCATCAGAAAGATTTCACTGATTAAGTAAGATTTGGACGGGAATTCAGCAATGGGTACAATATGGGTAAATGGAAAATGTAAGAGCAGGATAGCACGTTGTAGGGAGAGAGATTCAAATAGCATGGCGCACATTTGAATTAGTATCTTACCTCTGCAACTTACTAGTATTCGTCCTCAAAAGTTTAACCTTGGGGCACCTGGGTGGCTCAGTTGGTTGAGTGTCTAGGTTCGGCTCAGGTCATGATCTCAGGGTTTGTGAGTTCGAGGCCCATACTGGGCTCACTGCTGTCAGCACAGAGCCCACTTCAGATCCTCTGTCCCTCTCTCTGCCCCTCTTCTGCTTGTGCTCTCTCTCTCAAAAATAAATAAAAAACATTTTTGAACAAGTTATTTAACCTTTCTGAACCTGTTTTCTCATCTTTAAAATGGGGATATAATTAATCATTCATTGATTTAATGACATATCATGTACAAAGTAGAAAAGATTCACTTCTTAGTGTATGAAGCCCTTGACTTCAATGTAGTTTTCAGCTCAGAACAACATACAAGGAAGTACAATGTGTCAAGAAAGATATGTACAGGCAGAAGTGAGGAGGCAGAATGTCTAAAGCTGCCTGGGGCTTTGGGTGGAGATTGTCTCTGAGCTAAGGCTTTTCAATTTTTTTAATTTTTTAATATTTATTTATTTTTGAGACAGAGAGAGAGAGAGAGAAAGGGGTGGGGGCACAGAGAGGAGAGAGACAAAGAACTAGAACGAGGCTCCAGGCTCTGAGCTGTCATCACAGAGCCCAATGCAGGGCTTGAACTCATGAGCTATGAGATCATGACCTGACCCAGAGTCAGACACTTAACCGAGGCACTAAGCTGAGGCTTTAATCATCCATCTACCCATGCATCCATCCTACATATATTTTAAGCACTTACTATGTGCCAAGCCCTGTTCTAGGTAACTGGAGATAGAGTAGTGGACAAATTAAAAAGTCAACAATTCCTGTCTTCATAGATTTTTTATTTATAGTGATATCGTTTATACTTACATGCTTATAGGGGGAGACAGAAAATAAGTAAAATATATAATATTTGACAGGAACTGAGGGGAAAAATAAGCACAGAATGAAGCTATGAAGATTTGGGTGGAAGAACTTGTTGTCATTTTAATAGATGGCCAGGGATGACCTTACTGATTTTTGACTACTGTGATTTTTGTGTTGAACCGGATAGATAAAAGGAAGCCAGTGCTGCTTATTCATGCTCCACATTCAGACTACCTACTCTTCACCAGGCACTTTGCAAGAAGCCTGAGAAAAGTCTTAAATGCCTTGCAAAGGTTTCTTTTTTCTTTATTTTAATCCTTTTGGCAATGGGAAATTATTGGAGAATTTTGATCACGCGTACTGCACTCTTACATTCATGTCACCAAAAACTCACTCAGAAGTAAGATGGATAGATTCTGGATATTAACCCTTTATCTGATATGTCATTTGCAACTATCTTTTCCCATTCCGTTGGTTGCCTATTAATTTTCTGGGACAACCCAGTGAAGAAATGGGCAGAAGACATGAACAGACACTTCTCCAAAGAGGACATCCAGATGGCCAACAGACACATGAAACGATGCTCAGCATCCCTCCTCATCAGGGAAATACAAATCAAAACCACACTGAGATACCACCTCACGCCAGTCAGAGTGGCTAAAATGAGCCAATCAGAGAACTCTAGATGCTGGCGAGGATGTGGAGAAACGGGCACCCTCCTACACTGTTGGTGGGAATGTAAACTGGTACAGCCCCTCTGGAAAACAGTGTGGAGGTTCCTCAGGAAACTAACAATAGAACTCCCTTATGACCCAGCAATAGCACTGCTAGGAATTTACCCAAGGGATACAGAAATGCTGAGGCATAGGAGCACATGTACCCCAATGTTCATAGCAGCACTCTCCACAATAGCTAAAACATGGAAAGAGCCTAAGTGTCCATCAACAGATGAATGGATCAAGAAGATGTGGTTTATCTATACCATGGAATACTACATGGCAATGAGAAACAATGAAATCTGGCCATGTGTAGCAACATGGATGGACCTTGAGGGTGTTATGCTGAGCGAAATAAGTCAGGCAGAGAAGGACAAATATCATATGTTTGCACGTATAGGAGGATTAGGAGGAACTTGACGGAGGAACAAGGGGGAGAAGAAGGGCGGAAATGGTGGGGGAAAGGGAGAGAGGCAAACCATGAGAGACTCTTGAATGCTGACAAAAACTGAGGACTGATGGATGTGGGGGGGAGGGGGGGATGGGCATGGAGGAGGGCACTTTGGGGATGAGCACTGAGTGTTATGTAGAAACTAATTTGACAATAAACTATTTGTAAAAAAAAAAAAAAAAAAAAAAAAAAGAAGTAAGATGGATAACCAAACAGCAGTGGCAAAATTAGAATAGCCAAGCTGTCAGCTGGGGCTTCCAACTCCTTGGTTAATTTAGATGAAAATCCAGTTGTGTGGCCTGTGACAGTCTTCATGATACCTGTTCTCACACTTTGTTCCTAGTATGTTTGTCCTCCTTGTAGTTATTAACATTTAGACTTATCTATCTCATTTTTAGCAACAACATATTGAAAATAGAACTCAGCTTCTTCATCCGTTTCCAGAAAAACATCCACTCATACTGGTGTGTGTGTGGGGGGGGGGGGGATGGGAAAATACTTCATTGAAGATTTAAGAGTCACTAAGGGATAGGGCTCTAACGGAAAGAATGCAGGGCCTAGGAGCAGCTCAGCCAGCACCCAGTGCATCCAAGATAAACGCACTTGAAAGGAGTCTGCACTCTGAGCATCCTTCATGTGTCTTTGGAATATTTTATAAGCAGAAACTATGAAACTGAGTTTTAATGCTTGCTAAAGCTCATCCTGCTTGGGGAAGTGATTGGCCTAGCAGAGAGCTCACATCCCCTGTTTTCATGTCCCTTCCTGCTTTCCTCATTTCTCTCCCCTTCCTTCAGTGGAGCAGCCAATAAAACCATCCACTTGCCTCCCTCATAAAATGCATTATATAATGCATATATAATGCAAAATCTACACTTCTCAAGTAATTATCGAAGATTTTTTCCGACAAAGACAGCACTCCCTTTCTAAGAGGATTTTGGGGGAATAAAATTCTCTTTTCCTATCATGTGTTTTCTCAAGAAAAATATTTGCAACCTCTTGTATGTTTTGCTACGGGACTTCTGAGGGCAGGGTGGCAGGGGCTGGAGATGAGGAGTGGAGAGTTGGGATCAGAAGGTAAAACCCGGTAGGACTGTATTTTACTTAAGGTTGTTGGACCACGCCCAACTCAGACTAGTCTGTCTTGTCAGGGTTGCTAGAAATTTTCTCTAAAGCTCCACTGGTGCTAATGCTTATTGGATTTCTGGGGCTAGTTAGGTAGCAGTGTCCTCCCCCACCCACTTGCCATGTGTTGTTTCAAGTTCAGTAGCACTGGGGTTCCATAGTTACCCTGAAAGCAGGTGGGATTCTCCACATACGGCCTTGACCACATTTGTTTATCCTTAGAGTCAGAGCTGTCCTCTGGACCCACATTGATGACAGATATCCCTCCCACTACTTTCATACTGGGGG